GTAACATCGTCATCTATGGCTATCAATATTTGCAATGATTTATACTATTTAAATTATTTGCATAAAGTTGATTGATAACGATATTCTAGATTCCGGTCAGCAGGCTGTTCCATTTACTGTTCTACAGGGTGTATAAAAAAACTGAACCCTTTCAAATTCAAATTAGCTATAACGTATTGTAGTAATTTGACAGCTCTAATCGCCTTGAATTAATGGTTGGATAAGAACACAAGGAATACTGTATTTCTTTTAAATTTTCTAATTTTTATTTCTTTGAGTTTTGTTCCATGAGTACAAGACCCAGTGTCCTTATGCAACCATTAATTTAAAGCAACTAGAGCTGTCAAATTACTACAATACGTTATAGCTGATTAGAATTTGAAAGGGTTCAGTTTTTTCGTACACACTGTAGAACATTTGGAACATTGTTCTGAACATGGACTGGTGTTCAGGAACAGTGTTTAGTTTATTATTATATATATGCGTGCAACCATGCATTACTATATAATTAGTTATTCGCATATTAAATCGTATAATGATTTGCTGTTATTTGTAATATCTATATAAGTATGCTTTTGCAACTTACTTACTCGTTGATTTTGCCCAACCATGATAACAAGTATATGTCGATATATAGCGGTTAACCCTTCAAAATAACACTCTATATGCAGTGTGAATGAACCACTGAGCTATACTTAATATATCTGGAGATCGTGCTCCAATACCTCGTCAGTCAAAAATGTGTGGCCAAAAACATGGCGGATTTTGGCCAAATTTACGTCATTTTGACGTCACAATCGACCTAAATTTATGGTGAACACCACTGACCTAAAATGCTAACGTGAAGAAAAAAGTTATTCACACCTCCCTTTCAATTTGCTTAAAACAGAAGGAAGTAAATTCAAAATTTCGGTCGGAAATTTCTATATTGAAACGAGACATTTGCAACCATGCCAACTTTTTGTTCAATTCCTGGTTGCCAAAAATCTGCTGAAAGAAAGGACCTGTCCTCACATGCGTAAGGCTCGTATAATCTCTTTTTTTTAATAATTTAACGCAATGCTGTATTGCTGTATTGAATGCGTAAATTTGTGAATTCATGTAATTTATTGGCAAGCAACATACAATACAATGTTAGTGTACTACAGTGCAAAAGCAGAACAAAATTTTAAAATGTTGACAAGCTTGTGGAGCTGTTGTTGAGCAAGTATTTATTTTCATGCAAGTTGATGGATGTGATGCAGTGATGAAATCTTATCGATATCCTAACAGATAATGCTTAATGTTAAAAAAATTCAAATGAGAATTTTAACAATGTGATAAAGATACGACTAGCTTTAAATGTACAAAGCCTTTCACTCATTGTATTGTCTTTATTGTGGACTAAACCATGTGTTGTCTAGTGTGGCATTGTTTATAATAATTGTAAGTTATAGGTATCGTATTGAACAGTGTATTAACTAGACACTAAAAACAATTGTTCATTTACTTCAAAGCTTTCCAGATGAGAAGAGATTCCCTGAATTGCACAGCATATGGGTGAAGTTTGTTCCTATGAAAAATAGTCGTTTGTGTTCAAAGCATTTTAGTGCCGATATCTTTGAGGAGGATTACAGCTAGAGACCAGTGTTAAAGCCATATGCTGTACCAACAATCTTTAATGATTGCTTTGGTCAGCTTGGTTGTGATCTTTACAGTTTATTATCAGTACAATTAATGGCCATACTGTACATGAGGGGTAATTAACCCATTAAGCGCCAGTGCTCTCCCCTTGACGAGTAAAATTGTCTGGCGTTAGACAGAGTAAAATACTAAAATAGGGTGCTTCGCCACTCAATGGGTTAAATTTATTCCTTAATTTTTCTGCTAACAACTTTAAGTTATTTGTACACATTTCGGTCTGTTTAGCTAAGCCAAGATTGCTACATTTACATTTATTTTGACCATTTGGGTTAGTGTACAAATTAGGCTAGCATAATTACTATAGGTGCTGACCATCAAGTAGGGATTGACATGCATAGAATTGGTTGAGCAGTTTATTTAATTAAATTGGTGTTGTATGTGTTTAAAAATAAAGAATAAATTTTGTTGTGATTTGAAATTGAATATATTATTTATTCTTATTACTAAATGTAATTATATAATTATCTTGGAAAATCTTTTTTTGAATAAAATATTTTTTTTAATAATTCTTCACTGTCGTTCCAATTGAAGTGTTCCTCAAATATTGATTCAATACATTACCTTGGGCTAACCAATTCATTTGATTAAGTTCCTCAAGATATTCACACACTTCCTAGTATAATTGTAAACTTCCTGTTAAATGGTTTGAATGCACCAATCACCTTTGTTGTTTGTGCAACTAACCAATCATAAATAGAAAGGAAGTGACCAGAAATGATTAAATACTTGGAATTGGCTCTTTCACAGGAAGTGTATGAATATCTGGAGGAACGTGATGAAATGAGATGCTTGTGTGATGTTACTCTGAGTGTATATCCACACCGGGCAGGCTTGAAAAATATGCCTGGCCACAGTGGGATTTGAACCTACGACCTTTGGAATACTAGCCCAAATGGCAATGCTCTGTCAACTGAGCTACGCGGTCAGGTCGGTTTGAATCCCAATGTGGCTTGGCATATTTTTCAAGCTTGCCCGATGTGGATATGCACTCAGAGTAACATCACACAAGCATCTCATTCACAAATATCATGGTTATTAGATTACACTGATATCGAAGGAACTAGACTCAGTTCCGAAATATCGCATACTCGAACTGCCCCGACTGTATAGCTCAGTTGGCAGAGCATTGAGCCAGTATTCCAAAGGTTGTAGGTTCAAATCCGACTGTGGCCAGGCATATTTTTCAAGCCTGCCCAGTGTGGATATCCAATGAATCGCATAAAATGCAGATATCAAAATCAAACATTGTAACTCGAGCATAAAAATGTGCATATTTGTTTTAAAAGGTGATTGTTCCTTGAATGTTCAATGAAATAGTGCCATTGCCTTTTACAAGGAAGACCATTATAAAGAAATACACTTGACTTTCTTCATTGCCATCTGGTACTTAGTACAGATATCCCATATTTTCCTGATAAATTCATACCTGAAAGCGGAATACATACAGGTGTAAAAAACTTTAATGGTGATATAAGTGCTTTATATTCCAAAGAGTTGCTTTTCCCCACAATTTACTAATAGAATAAACTGGTATTAAAATCTCTAAAAAACCTTTGTCACTCAGGGAAATTTATAGCAGTACGGTTTTCAACAAGCTATATTTGCTTAATTTTACTTGCTGGGGATTGTTATAATACTCGTGTTTTAAAGAATAATCTTGAGTCAGTTCAGACTGTTCAGTTGCAACCAATGGTTGCAACACAAATTCACAATACAACAAGAATTGATAAATCATTTCAATGACTTACATGCTTTGTTCTTGTGGCCGTCAAGCTCCATTCATGTCTTTTTTTATTAATGGCTTTCGGTCTTTATTGATTTAGACGCGCAGTTAGAATAATACTGTATTTTCAAAAGGACGAAAATCAAAAATATAGTCTCTGTCGATCAACTAATATAAACATACAAAATCACTGTAAAATCCAGGGGGGGTTGAACTTTGTCGCCCACGAACATTCGAGCCACGGGTCAGTGGACACCCCCATGAAAATAGGTCGATTGTGACGTCAAATCCGCCATGTTTTTGGCCACACACTTTCGTCGAGAGCACGATCTCCAGATATATAAGTATAGCTCAGTGGAATGAACACACACAATTTGTTGCCTCCATTTCAAATCACGTGAAAATGGGCAGTGTCACGTGTTCTGTTCTGGCTGCCCCTACTCGAAAATCGGGGTAGTCAGAACAGTTCAAAACAGTCATGTGACTGTCCGAAAACCTGGAGTACTCCGAACAGTAAATGGAGCAGCTTGCTAGGTTCAACGATAAGTTCTAGCTGAGCGCTTTGCATGTGTTAATACAATGCCTCTATTAACCCGCAACAAAACTGAATGGGTTAGCTAATTAATTATATGAAATCGTTGTGTTGCTTTGTAAAATAGACGGAGACAACAACTTACAAAATCTTCTGAAAACAATGGCAAGATGGATATATAAACAGCAGTTCGTGATAGTTCTTATATTAATTTTCATTAAATTTCACGACCTCCCAACTCTGTTGTTATCGTATTTATTTTTTATACACTTATAAAGTTTCGCGGTAATCACAGTGCCCTCGTGCACCAATCTCAACACTGAATCTCACGAGAAGTATTATTATTTGAAATTTTGTGCTTGAGTTAGACGGTTTGGGCTTACACTGGCAAACAATCTATTTATAGGCATGAGTGAAACACGTTCAGTCTATGACTTGACAACTAAATTTCCAAACATCATGTACCTATATGACTTCGAGCCAGTGCGATTCGAGGACTCTCAGTATTGATTTCTTTTAATGCAGCCCATCTTTCCTTCCGTATAAGAGTAACCATACAGTTAATATCATTTGTCCTTTTTGGGTAGAGAATATATTTGACTAATTAGGCATGTGTCGAAGAGCCAATGGTTTATATAGAGGGCTATTTCATGATATAGACGTAATGGTGCTGCAAGGCAAATTTAGCTACTCAAATCCTCGTATTGTTTTTGCGTGAGTTAAAGAAACACTCATCCAAAAGGTTTGTTGAATTTATATATTTGATATATTATATAAATTTTTGTTGACGGAAATTGCGAGTGAAACCGATGCAGCTGCGAATGCATACACATGCAGCGACTTTTGGCATACATGAGGATTGGATCTTGTCTCATTCAATTCATTTAAAAAATCATAAAGCTTGCTTACAGAAGCAAATTCCTTACCCTACGAAGCTGAACATATTTTATTGTGAACAAGAATTTATCCCGCTGAGCTATAGAAATTGTTGCGCTTCAGAATAGATTGATAAACTCTACAAACAACATTTCTACGTACTCTTCTCATTATAAACTCTACAAACAACATTTCAGATTTTTGTGACTTTACCATTCATAAATTTATACTAAATATGATTGCTCGCTTTCATAGCCTTCATGGTGACATACACTGATATAGTTCCTCGTTCTGGAATATGTATTTGGTAAGTCCGTAACTGCTTATAGTAGAAATCGGATAAAGGAAATTATAGACGTCTTAAATGAATAATAATGTAAGTAATGTATTGACGATAATTTATACACCCTGTTGAACCATTAACTTGAAACGAAAAGAAAGTCAAGTCTATAACTACATTGATTTATCATGCATGCGAGGATATATGCTATTGATCTTCAGTCCATCACTTGCCCTCAGTCACGTATACGTTGTCTTGTAATAGTGTCATGATTGTCAACATTTGTGACGAATTTAATAATAATACCTTTTGACCTCCTGGCAAGTAAAACAACTTTCATTTAGAAGCTACTAAGTGTTTTTGTTCATTCAGAACAGATTCATATCAAACGCGCTATATAATAGTTATATTATGAATTTAATTATTCTCGCGATCGTACACGATTTAAAACATAATTCCGCTATAATACGGATTTCCATTATTCCATTAGTGATGTGGAAGGAGACTTTTCCACTGGAAGAAGACTTTCCTCGTCGAGCAGGAGGAGTCACGCAGACCCAACACATACAAGGTAAGTGAACCTTCACTTCGATGGTTTTAATCTTTAATCTCTAATTAAAATTCTTTATACACGGTAGCCTTTCAGTATATATTTACAGTCTGATTATTCCAAACGGCCGTATTAATTACACTGGCCTGTAGGCCAAGTGTCTTAAATCCCTCTTTTTCTGTTTTCGACGAGAAATGGAGTTTGCGTTAGGTCATCGCAGGCTCAGGGTGCAACGTGCTCCAGTGACATATTCAGTTCAGTTTCAAAATGGCGGCTTTTCATTGAGCGATCTAATATATATTTCACACAGTTTCGTTGAATTTTCAAAGAATTGTGCCGGTTTCCTATGGATTTTAAGGTGTTTCACACTCTGGCCTTTCTTGCGTGTTGAATTAGTGTGTTTTTCTTTGTGTAACGACTCGAAAACCCTCAAATTTGGACCCAGCGAATTTATACAATATAGTGGAGTAAACAAGGACAAGTTAAAGGTTTGACAGTTTGACTTTTTAATTAACAAGTATAAATATACGTTGTAGGCTCATAAACATGCGTCTTGTATTTATTTGCATAATTATAAATTTGCACCTACTTACATTAATTTGCGCCAAATTACTTTCTATTTCATCATATATTACTATAAAACGCATGTTTTCGATTGTATTCAGCGAGGTGGCGTTGCTTGCGGCGAATTGAAACGTGATACGGTTCGATTACAGTGGGCCTGGCTTGTCAGGTTGAGTTGCCCGTAGCCGGAGGATACGTCTGAGCCCGGCGTCTGGTATATTATGGTTGATAGTTGCTGATCAATGATTGTATTTATTGGTTGTATTTATATGATCCAGTATCCCTATGATCCTGTATCCCTATCTACTTCTCTACTACACATTACACCAAGTACCAAGAAAGTTGCCATTTTCAGGCTAGTGTGAACGCCTGAGCAGGCGTCTTGTTACAATATTAAAAATTAAGTACGCTGAGCGTACATGCGTCCGCTTTTACTTTAGTTTGTCATTGCCAGCTCTTGATAACGAGCACAGCTTCTTATTTTTTGTGATGTATATCACCATACAGGTGCACTTTTTTGGGTACGTATACCTAAAACGTCATTCCATACCCAGGGCCGTCGAGAACGTGGGCAAGAGAGAGGCACTTTGATCCGTGTCCCCAGCTCAAAAGGGCCCCTCAAAACGAGGAAGGCCCAGAAATATATATCCTAGCTGCGTTGGTATACTATAATATGTAATAAGGTGTAATGCCGGTTTCCCAATTGTCTTTGGTCTTTCAACTGAAACGATCTAGAACTACAGTAATTGGATAAACTAACAAAAGAAAAATTCGCTTAGTTCGAAAATAATCGCAAGTACATGGAAAACGGGCTTAATATTACGTAAAACACCGATTCTGTCCTTGGGGGACACCCTTGGAAATTTTGCCCCGGGCCCCGCACAATTTCTCGGTGGCACTGTCCACACTCTGATCCTATCCCGCTGAACCTAACCGGAGCATTGGTTCCCTCACCCAACCGGTGGACGGCTGATAATGAGACTGACTCGGCGACAGAAGGCGACCGGCGACACTAATGAAAACCAGCCTTATCAACCAACAAGAATATCTCCCCTTACGAACATGTTTAATACTAAACTCGCATACACACAAATTATGCTTTATAATGTAAGCAAACTATATAACAAATTACGCTCGTTAGGTATTATATTAAATGATTTTATGAAAAGGTATTGCCATAACCGCCGTTTGGTTCATAAATTAAAGTCGCGAGAGAAATTTCTAATCTTCCACGTTGGACAGAAATTGTTATCTTTTGTTAGTTCATAATTTGTATCAGACACTCTAAGTCGATTCTTACAGTAATATAGCTATGAAATTTAACAAATATGAAACACAATGCTGCATTGATTTCTTCTTTTAGATAGTTCTCCGCGTGGGCAATATAGAAAACCAAATGAAGACTTTCATCTTTCAGCAGAACGAACAAGGGAATTGTCTTATTCGTGTGGAGATCTTCCCCTCATACTAGGTATAAGAGACTTTCCGCACTAAGATGGTCATAAATTTACGACAGGAATTTCCAAATCTTCCAGTTTGGCAGGTGTTTCCAGCTCATTGGTTTGTTAAATCTGTATCAGACACTCGTACTTGTTTCTCATATAGTGATGTAACAAATTAAACAAATATTAAACATAATGTTGGTTTGATTTCTTCCTTTAGAAAATTATCCGTTTAGGGCATACAGGTCACGAAATGAAGATTTTGATCATTCAGCCGAAAGAACCAGAGCACTTTCCTCTTCGAGTGCAAATATTTTCGCCAGACTAGATAAAAAACTTTCACTAAGATGGGTAATATACATTCACGACAAGAGTTTTTATATCTTCCAGTTTTGACAGGAGTTTCTAAATCTTTGGTTCGTTAGATGTGTATCAGACATCCGTAGTTGTTTCATCTTTGCTGAAGGTTTAGGATTGTGAGGGTTTCATATGTCAAGTCACAATTTTACTAAAAATTTCATTACTATCTGACTCAGTCAGCTTCCGAAAATGGAGGTGGTCCTGTGGGTCGCAATGTGACAAGTGTCTGATAGTTCGTTAGTAATTGTTTTTTTCTATGTACCTACATAGTATATCAGTTTTCTAACATTTAGAGATCGCAGTAATTGGCGGATGCTGTTGCGATTGCCCTGCCAGTTTTTGTGTTAACGTTATTTGAATTTGGCAAAGTTAATAAATTAATTATAGTAATGTATTAAATTTAACAAATGGTACTCATTGGCGATACTCACCAAACGCACGCGGTTACAACTTAGCACTTTGAATGCGATTTCTCCGCACGTATTTACATTCCTTTAAAACGAAACTCCATTGATATCATTGACGTTACATGACGTTCTTGCTTTTTTGTGTCCAGTCTGCCGACCTAGTTATGTATAATCGACATCGATCTCCTTTTTTTCCAGCCGGGAGTTGTCCAGAGCCTTTTTTAACACACAAGCTGCCCCCAGTCCCCCCTTGTTCCCCCCTCCCACGAAATCACATCCCCCCCTTTAGGAAAAGTCCCTTTTTCTTAAATTTATACAAACAAACCAGCGAAGAATAACAAATAGATAAATGGAAAGTAGTTTTAGGCTTTATCCTTTGTCCTTGATTAACAAAATCGATTTAAATTTTTACGTTTTTCTACCGCTAGGTAATGATAAATTATTGTTAATATTTTTTAAATCATTTTTTGTGCGTTTTTACCTTCTTATATTTCAAATACAAGTATAGTTAGCACACATTTTAGAGCAAATTTGGATGCTCAGAATGCAGGAAATGGCATTTTTGGCAAATTTCAAAAATTTTCTGGGGGAGTAAGCCTCCAGGTCCCTCCTATTCATGCATGGTATGTCGGACACACACGTGGCTTTCAGCCATTGCTATAACCCTCTAATATCTCACAGAGAGGTTCCTTCTCAAAAAATCCCACCCCCTCTCACGGAAAATCCTTAAAAACGCCCTGGAGATGTCTGTCCATTTCCTAGGGGCTCATTAAGTATTCAAGTTCGTTTGTAAAATGAAGGAGTTGTTCAACAACATTTTCTTCAATGCTGCATGCGAGCAGGCTACTCAAAGATGTGTCTTTAAAGAGTTTTTCAACATAATGCTGTTTTGATTTCTTCCTTTAGATAGTCCTCTGCGTAAGCCACGATATGATCATTCAGGTGAAAGAAACAGGGAATTTTCTTCGTGTGGAGATGTTCCCCTCATAGTAGGTAAGAAACTTTCACGTACTAAGATGTTTGTGTGATGTTACTCTGAGTGTATATCCACAACGGGCAGGTTAGAAAAATATGCCTGTCCAC